AAGTGCACTATATTTCGCCTAGTCAATCGAGGGTGATCCAACAACAAGGGAGCTAGAAGTAATGTTACTTTCTAAGTTTCAGTAACGTATATATTTTATAGTCATTACTGACAAAGAAAGGCAGGCTAAGATAGCTATTTCTGGCTTTATTGGCCGTCGTCAGCTAGCAGTACCCAACTGTAGTGTAGCCGCTGAAATTGCTGCTACGCTCCAGTTTCGAACTCGAGTCTCGCCGGTCAGAGGCAAACGTCCTAACCATTGAGCCACGAGTTCGCTATCTTGCCAGTTGTTAATCGGGAGTATATAGTAATGGTAACAGTACACCGACCTGTTTCGGGATGTACCTGTCCTGGTTGATGTCTTTGCGAAATTTTCTCACCGGAACAGCGTATGCTGCAAGGCGAAGAAGCTACTTGGTCAACGGTGTAGTTCAACAATGCACGGAATCCCAAAAGGACCTCAGTGGGCTAACGGCGAACTTCTGAAAATCGTCCTCTAATTACCCTACGGAAGAGAAAAACGCAGCGTCCGTGTTGCGTGCCATGAGGAGTGCTTTTATCGATTTTTACGAAGATGCCTTCCCCCAACATTTTGGAACCTTCACGAGTCAGTATTTGGAATCTGCCATAAAAGTCCGGAGACCCTGAACTGTTCAAGATCACAACAGTATCAAGATTTCAAGAGAGAAATACAAACATGGTCGAGAAACAAATTTCGTGGCTATATAAAGCCCGCTTAACATCCTCTTATCTGTTACCTTTGAATGAGAAGCAAATATGGGCCATCTCACGTCTGAGAACTTTCTATAATTTCTTATCACGAGCAAACACTGAAATCTCCGATCAAATCTGCATTTCAGTAGGCAGGCTAAAATGTGTTCAAATTATTTTCCTCTATCAGCGTTTTCAAGCCAGAGTATGTGATCTTCGCAGATGTTGTGATGTCATAATCCATGGAAGGCTTGAAAATAAATCTTGACAGATTAATGTTCCAAAATGAACTGGAACTACGATGGATTTAACTTCATCATTGCGTCTCTCGCTGCAGTTGTCATATTTATTGTCTGCTTTGATTACTTCTACCACTGTAAATTGCACTCCATTTTATGTAGAAAATAAAGTACGCAAAGCCTCCTGTTAGACTTTCCTATGTGCGATAAGGTGATAAGTATCGACCCACCGAGCCATCGTTAAACTTAAACGAAAGCCGTTTCATAAAAAGACCTCATGCCCCAAGCATTGGAGTCGTCAACATTTTGCAATCATGGTTGACAAAAGGAGGGGACAAAAGTGGCTCGATGATCTTCTCGGCAGGGGACAATATTGGTGGATTTATAAATTAATTAAAGGCAAAGGAAACCAGCCCAAATTCGAAGAGGGTCCTTTTCACATTCAAAAATGGTGTGTTTCGAAAAATGACGGACAATAATGCGGAATCACAAATGTTTTCTGCTATTGCATATATTTAAGATAGAGCGCTACGTAGTGTGAAGTATATGAATAATCACAGACTGTTTAGTCGACATATAAATTTTGCATGGGCAAACTTGGCAAAATTTACGTCAAGTCAAGGCAAGTGTATTAAGGGAAATGTAGGCAAACGCCTTTGAAATCTCTGTTGGTACACAGTAATTAAGAAATCCATTGGCACGGCCGAAGATTTCAAAAAGGTCGTTTACATAATTGTAGGAGACTACTCACTTGCTCCCTTGCTCACATGTGGTGATGTCAGTTAAAATGAGCCGGCAGGTATAACTGAACAACAAGAGCAGACAGTGAAATAACTCCTAAGGCATGGCTTAGAATTCAAAAGTGTAATTTCATTTGTGGTTTTCATAGGAGAAACTGTCGCTTGTGGGAGAAAATATGTGAAAGATAGGATCGGAATGCTCCTGTGAATGATGGCGACAAGCAAGGGGGCCTATCCCGAGAAATATCTTTATACGAAGGGACACACGACGAGGAGACCGCATAGTCACGAGAACATCTCGAAGAACCGGAAATGCGACCACGATGAGCCTTTGCTTTGACAAAAACAGCGGAACCCGTCACGGTGGTCAGCAGCCGGTTTTTAGGTCGACATGAGGAAAAACATGACAAGGCCGCGTAGCCTACGACCATAGTTGCGGTATAGGCGACTGTCGACGCGATCGTTGAAATTTGCATAGTGAGAAGGAGGCAGTTCGAAGTTATTGGCTATGCACGGCGAAAAATACTTCGAGTAAATTTTAATACTACTTAAATATAGCTATTGGCATATTTATAGCGGGGACATGACAGGGTCTATAGGAAAGGCATTCCATGCCTGAATTACTCTCTTAAAGAAAAATAATTTGCTTTGGTCAAGTCTTGCCCCAGTCACAGGTAATTTGAGAGGGTGTCGTTGCAGGCTAGTGGTAGTGACCAGCTCAAAGAAGTGATTGGATTCGAGCTAAAATCCTGACCTCG